AACTGAATTCCAGTTATAGAATTCGGTAATTAAAGTTGTGTTAGGCATAAAGACTTAGAACCAATTTTTTAAGGCCCTTTTGAATAGCACACACTGTGAAAGTATTTGTTATGTCAGCTAATAATTCATTAAAGAAATACAAAAGCTATAATTAAACTTTTTAAGGGTTTTTAATTAGTTTTGTTCGTTAAGTTTGAAGACTCAACAGAGTATTTTAATAGATAACTTTTAGTTTATGTCTATGAACTAAAAAAAATCATGTGCTTGTATCAGAATTTCATAAGATTTATTAAGAATAAAATAATTAATTTTGGAATTTTAAATGTCGGATAAATTTAAAGGCCTTAAAAATTAACTATGAGTGAGACACGTGCTCAGGATGGCCAAGTGGTTATGGTGTCAGACTACAGTTGCTTTCATCAATTGCTGTTTGTTCAATGCATGGTGTAATAGTTGATGAATTTTCCGGGTTTAGGAAGGGAAGTTAAATGGATTTGCTTTTCGTAGTTTTCAGGAATGTTTATTAACGTGTTTGTCATATCAAACTTCAAAAGAATGTTATAGGCATGGCGCTATTCATGTGAGGAACGGAATTTGTTCTCATAGAACGCTAATGCAAAAATGGGGTTTCTCTTCGTGTGAGTTCTCAAATGAAATATAAAAATAAAACCAACAGAAAAAATGATTAATAAACGTGGGATTGTGACATATTGCTTCGTCTTTCCGATATCTGTACCTCTTTTTTCTCCATAGGGAATGTCGGTAATTGATTAGTCCGAAGTTGTTCGGCAATTAAATTGAACTTGAATGTCGGACATCCTGCATCGCAAATGTATGTTGATGAAAGCTTGGAGATCTGACTCACAATTGTGAACGTAGGTTCGATTCCTGCTCCTGAAGAGGTATCCTGTTTATTTATTTATCTCTAGTAGAATTGAGATCTGAATATTCATATAAGGCTTATAATTAATTTATATAGCATAGGAATAAATAAATTACATAAATAATCTTAGATATCCAAATTCCTTTATAAAGTGATTTATCTCTTTTTATCCAATTTAAGAAATGCGACGAATTATTTATAAAAAATAGTGTCGAAGCTGTGTTTACATTATTCGGTAACTGAAGTTACGTTTATCGTTTGCTTCAGAGTTACATAAAGACTCAAAACCAATTTGTTTAAGGCCAGTTTAATTAACACGCGCTTTGCAAGTTACATTATGATAAATAATTTAACGAATGGGAATTTTGTTGCACATATTTAAAGAATAAAGACTAGATTGGATTTCAGATTAGATAAACTTTATATACAAATATTTTGAATAATTTCTTTTTTCACTAATTTTTTTAGTTTTTTCAGTAAATGTTTCTACTGGCTTCAGGTTGTAATTTATTGGTTATAAATATTAACTGTCATAATGAAATATGTGTTATGTCTAACGAATTCCTGCTCGTTAGAAAAATGCAAGTGCTTTAATTATATTTTTAATGCTTTTACAATTATGTATGTAAAACTCAACCGCATATTTTTTTGTATTGATAATTTATAGATCATTTTAATAAACTAAAAGTTCATGTTAGCACACGCTTGTGAAAGCAGGTTCGAATCCTGCTCCTGAGGAAGAGAATTTTTTTTTCGCATAGAATTGACGTTTTCAGATGTCACCTAAACATTCTCCTAAATTTTTATCATATCCTGGCGATGACATGGATGTTTGTTAGCGTTTCGGAATCCACATTATACAAAAAAGTATACAAAAATTGACCGTAGGCCGACAACCTAAACTCAAAGTTGCATAAATATTTAGAGGCAATTTGTTCAGTGTTAATTTTAAACAACACACATAGTGAAAGATAAATTATGAAGAATTAATGAGACTTATTTTGCACATTTTTTAAGTTTACTGATGAGATCTATCAGTAGTTAGTAGATGAACAAGTAGAGTAATTATATTTATATGCGTGTTAGGTACAATTTATGTCTGGTTTTTTCACTGATTATTTGAGTTATTTTCTCAAAATGTTTCAATAAGAATCATTTGATTGTTTCATTGGTCAGAAATAATAGTTATTATAATAAAGTATGTGTTATGCAAGTTAATCAATGCATGCTCATTGCAGAAATGCAAGTGATTTAATTAAACGTATTAATGATTTTTTTTAATTAGTTTTCTTTTTCGGTAAGATTGCAAGATTCAACTAAGTATATTTATATATAATTTTTAGATTATGTCTCTGAACTAAAAAATTAATGTGCTTGTTTCAGAATGTCCATAATATTTTAAAGGGAAAATCATGAATTTTTAATTAAATCTAACATTAAACGGAGCTTAACAAATGTCAAAGTCAAGTGTTGTCACTTGTAAAGAACATCTAGCTATTCTCATATGAATTTGTGGAAAGGTTTACGACTAATAATAATTTTCTAAGTAAGATAAAATATCAAAATTTATTTATCAAATAGTTTATTGTTTTTCCTAAAATAATTAAGAAAATTTTATTAAATATTTAAAAATACTTTAACAACTTTATTACACTATAGTCACTTCGTTAAATGCAGAGTTGCATTAATATATAATAATACAACACACATTATCAAACTTAAAATATAATTAATCACCAATAAATATATAATGTAAATAAAATACAATTAACGAAGTTATAATTTTAATAATTAGCAAATGATCAAAAATAATTCTCAAAGCATGCGTTATTATTAACCAATCCCCTTTGGCCGCAAAACATTTTAATCATTGTGCAATGTTTACTTTAACCATTTTTTTTAAATTTAAAGGTAATAATGTCTTAAATATCTAAATCATATTAATTTTAAAATTTTCCTTTAGATTTAAATTATCTCTTTAAATAAATTCAAACAAATGTATGAGAAAACATACATAATTTTTTTTTCAAATATTCAACTCCGATTCTAGCTCTGTAACAATATACATAGTTTTATGGTTGACAAATAATATGGGTAATTCTGAAATTTTCAAAACTAATCAAATTTAAAAACCTTAAAAATGAACTATGACGAAAGCTTGTGTTCAGCTTGTGTGCCGTTATGTATTGATAGCATGATTCCTAGTAGTTTTCGGGAATATTTAATAACAAGATTGAAGTAATAAGTTTCTGAAAAAAACAAAACAATATGCGTATCACTATTTGTGTAAGGAACGGAAATCGTTCTTATTGGACGTACATGCAAATAAATTATATTCGGGATGAGTATTCTCATAAGCAAAACGAACCATAAAAAACTCATAATAGGAGTGATTTCGATATATTACTCCATCTTTCTGCTATCCATACCTCTTTATTCTTTATGGAGTTTCGGTAATTGATTAGTCCGCAATTCTGTGGCAATTAAATTGAACTTGAATGTCGGACGTACTGCATTGCAAATACATTTGGATGATAACTTGGAAATTTACCTCAATCTTGTGAACGTAGGTTCGAATCCTGTTCCTGAATAGTTATTCTTTTTCATACATCTATACGAAATGACATATGTACCAATCCTTATCATTAATTTGTGTAACATGGGAATAAATAAATTATATAAATATTCTTTGCTATACAAATTCATTTATAAAATTATTCATAATTTTTTTTATTGTAATGTAAGAAATGCGTCGAGTTATTTACAAAGTATTATCGCAATTATTTTTACATTATACGGTAACATATGTTACGTTTAACGTTTGCTTCAGAGTGACATAAGGACTTAGAACTAATTGTTTAAGGGCAATTTAAATAGCACGCAATGTGAAATTTTAATTATGATGAATAATATAATAAATGAGACTTTTTTAAACTTATTTTATGACTACTGATATATTTCCATTTGATCAACTTAATATATAATGTTTTGAACAAATTCTTTTTTTCCCTGATTGTTTCAGTTTTTTTTTTTTTTTTCCTGCGAATATTTCTATTAGTTTCCGCTTGTCATTATATTGGTCAGAAATATTAATTATCATAATAAAATATTTGTTATATCAGCTAATCATATCAAAGTGATTCAAATAATCAAATTAATGAAATTCAAGGGATATAATTATGTGTTTAATGCTTTTACCGTTATGTACTCAAAACACAACAAGAAATTTATTTTTATGAGAATTTCTAGACCATGTTTATGATATAAAAATTAGTTTGCTGATTTCGGATAGTCCATAAGATTCAATAAGAAAAATTCATTACTTTTAATTAAATCTATTATTTGATGGAGCTCAAAAAATTTAAAAGTCAAACTTTGACCCTTCCAAAGATCATCTAACCCTTATCATATGAATTTGTGGAATATTTTACGCGTAATTATAGTTTTCTAAGTAATATAAAATATCGAAATTCATTCCGAAATCGAATTAATCGAAATTAATCGAAATAATTTATCGAAATTCATTCCTTAACTATTTCTCCTATAATAATTTAGCAAATTTAATTAAATACTTAAAAATACTGTAACAACTGTTTAATATATATGTATCGATTTTTACAAAATTACTTTAATATTTAATGATACATCAATTAGTATTTATTGATTAATTAATATTTAATTATATTTCATCAAAATAAAATATAATTAATCAGAAATAAATAGTAAAAATAATTTAAATACGATCAACAAAGTTAAAATTTAATTAATTCGCAAATAACGAAACATAATTCTCAAAAGCTGGCCCTCTGGCCTTAAAACATTTTAAATAATATTATTCAAAGTTAAATAAAGTTTGTTTGTTTTTAATTTAATGACAGTATTACATATATTATTTAAATTTTAAAATTTTGTTTTAGATTTAATTTATCTTTTTTAAATAAATTCAAACAAAGTTATGGGAAAACTAGTTCGATTTATTCTTGCATATTCCGCTGTTTGAAACTCTGTAAAAATATATACATTGTTTTTTAGTTGAAAAAATTATAAGGATAATTTTGGAATTTTCACAATTGGCTAAATTTAAAAGCCTTAAAAATTAACTGTGACTGTCAGTCGTGTTCAGGATGGCCAAGTGGTTATGGCGTCAGTCTAAAATTACTTTCATTAAAATGCTAAGTATGGCGTAATAGTTGATGGATATTCTGGGCTTGGTAAGTGGCGATTAATGAATTTGCTCATGCCTATTTCTTGTTGATTCCTTACATTCTCATTTCCATTTCCCGAATTCCAAGATTGAAATACAGCATTTCGGAAAAAAAATTATATGCATGGCGCAATTCATGAAAGCAACGAGAATTTTTCTTGTATGTAGGAATGCACACATATGGCTTCTCTTTGGAATGAGTATTCTCATAAGCAAAACCAACAAAAAAATTAATAATAGGAGTTATGTTGATATATTACTCCATCTTTCTGTTATCCGTACCTCTTTCTTCTTCATAGGGAATTTCGGTAAATGATCAGTCCGGAGTTGTTCGGCAATTAATTTCAAGTTGAATGTCCGAGGTCCTACCCTGCAAATGCATTATGATGAAAGCTTGGAAATCTGACTCCCGCTTGTGAACGTAGGTTCGAATCCTGCTCCTGACGAAGTATTTTTTTACATCTAGACCAATGGAAATCTCCAAATGCCAACTAAAACTTCTCATTAATTTTTCTTTTGAGGTTTATATAAGTTATCTAAATATTCTTAGATATCCAAATTCATTTATAAAATGCTTCATCATTTCTTATTGTAATTTAAGAAATGCGACGAGTTATACAAAAAATACTGTCGCAGCAATTATCCATTATCGAAGTTACGGTTAGCGTATGTTTTTGAATTGCATAAAGGCAGAATCAATTTGTTTAAAGCCAATTTAGATAGCACACCCTGTGAAAGTTAAATTATAATGACTAATATAATGAATGAAACTTCTTATTCCAGATATTTTAAGACTACTGATAGGCTTCATTAGATCAACTTGATATATAAAGAACTTGAACAGTTTTATTTTTCACTAATTGCTTCAGTTTTTTCTGTGTATGTTTCTATTAGCTTCAGCTTTTAGTCTTATTGGACAGAAATATTAATTATCATAACTAAAATATGTTTTATGTCAGCTAATCAATTCATGCTCGTTAGAGAAATATAAGTGCTTAATTAAACGTTAATTGATATTAGAGTAACGTACGTAAAAATCAGCATGATGTTTATTTTAATGATAATTTCTACACCACGTTTATGAACAAATTTGTGGGTTGATTTTAGATTGGCCATAAGATTCAGTAAAAAACTTTTAATTTTTATTAAATCTATTGTTAGATTCTCCATGAACATAAAAGGGAACATTTGTCACCTGCAAACATCATCTAAATTTATCATATAAATTTACGGATGGGCTTAAGAGTAATGATAATAAACTAATTAATATGAACTATCCAACTTCGTTCATAAAATTAGTTACATTTTTTCTGATGATTATTAGAATTTAACTAAATATTTAAAAATACGTTTCCATCTTTTTACATTATACGCATGTCGTATTATTACAAACATAATTTTTAGTAACAATAAATATAACACTAATTATTAAATTTAAATTATAATTAAGAAGAAACTATTTAAATATTTTGCATATTTAATATGAAAACAATTTGCCCATGTACACTGAAATTTTTATTAAATATTTAAAACTACTTTAATACGTTTTTTACATTATAGGCATTTCGTTATATACAGAGTTACATTAATGTATAATAATACAACACACATTGTCAAAATTAAAATATAATTAATCAGTAATAAATATAAAATATAATTAAAATACAATTAACTACTAAGTTAAAATTTAATTAATTAGCAAATAATCAAATAGAATTCTCAAAACCTGTGTTATTTTCTACCAAGCCCCACTGGGCTTAAAACATTTTAATTAATATTAGTTAACGTTTAAGTTGACGGTTTTTTTAATTTTTAATTTATCTACAATAAGAGCATAATTAAGTAAATCATTTCAATTTTGAAATTCTCTATTAGATTTAAATTATCTCATTAAATAAATTCAAATTGAAATATGAGAAAATATATATCAATTTGTTCTCGCATAATCCTCCTCTTGAAGTTCTGTAATAATATACATTGTTTTATAGCTAACAAATTATAAGAATAATTTCTAAATTTCCAGTCAGCTAAATTTTAAAATGTTACAAATTAACTACGACTATAGCTCGTGTTCAGGATGGCCGAGTGGTTATGGCGTCAGACTAAATTTGCTTTCATCAAATGCTGTTGTGCAAAGTAAGGCGTAATAGTTGATGGCTTTTATGAGAATGGCAGATGAATTTGCTCACATGTATCGGTTGCACGTTGCTTCATAGAGTCAGAAATGTATATTGAAATGTGAAATTTCCGGAAACAAAGTATGTTTAGCGTAATTCATGAAAGGAATAGGAATTCTTCGCATGCCAAGACGTGGTTTCTCTTCATTGTGAATATTCATATAAGAAAAACGAACAAAGAGAAATTAAAAAAAGAGTTATGTTGGTGTATTACTCCATCTTTCTACTATCCGTACCTCTTTATTCGTCATATTGAATTTCGGTAATTGATTAGTCCGCAATTGTGCGGCAATTAAATTGAACTTAGACGTCCTGCATTGCAGTTGCGTATTGCTGGAAGCTTGGAAATATGACTCACGCTTGTGAACGTAGATTCGAATCCTGCTCCTGGCGAGATATTTTTGTTTAAATACAAGAGAAGAATTAACATCTGCAATTTCATCTAATATTTCTCATTAATTAATGTAACTTGAGAGTAGAGTTAATTATCTAAACATTCTTAGATATCCAATTTCAATTTTAAAGTGATTTATGATTCTAATCGTAATTTCAAAAATGCGACAAATTATATAAAAAATACTGTACTTTTTTGGCGTTATACGGTAGCAGATGTAACTTTTGTCGTTTGCTTTGGTGTTACATAAAGATTTAGAGCGTTATAGTTACAAAGGATTTTTAAGGCCATATTAAACAAACACATAGGAAAATTAAATTGTGATGCATAATATAACGAATGAAACCTTTTTGCAAATATTTTAAGAATATTTATAGACATCCAGTAGGTCAACTTTATATATAAATATTTTGAATAATATCTTATTTTTAGAAATTTCTTCAATCAGTTTTTCTCCGAATATTCCTACTACCTTCAGCTTGTAATATTATTGCTCAGAAATATTAATTATCAAAATAAAATATGTGTTAATAAATTCATTCTTTTTAGAGAAATGCAAGTGCTTTAACTAAGTGTCTAATGCTTTTAATGTTATGTACGTAAAACTCGACATGAAGTTTATTTTATTGATAATTACTAGACCATGTTAATGGAGTACAAAATGCGTCTGCTGATTTTACAGTGTCCCAAAGATTCAGCAAGAAAAATTTTCATTTCATGCTAGTTAGAGAAGTGTAAGTGCTTTAAAAAAACGTTTAACGCTTTTAGTTTTATATACGTAAAACTCAACGATGATTTTTTTAATGATAATTTCTAAACCATGTTCATGAACAAATTTGTGTGTTGATTTCAGATTGCCTATAAGATTCAGCCAGAAAAATCTTTTATTTTTATTTAATTATATTATTAGATTCTCCATCAATATAAAAGTGAACATTTATCACCTGCAAAAATCATCTACATTTTCTCATATAAATTTATGGAATAGTTTAAGAGTAATGATAATAATCTAATTAATATGAACTAACCAACAGCGTTCATTAAAATATTTATATTTTTTTCTTATAATTATTTAGGAAATTTATCTAATTATTTAAAAATATTTTTATAGCTTTTAACATTATACGCGCGTCGTTTATTAGACACATAATTGTTAATAACAAATAATATAACACTCATTACTAAAGTTAAATTTTAATTCAGAATAAACTCTTTAAAGATTTTGCATGTGTAATATGGGAGCATTTTGCACATGTACACTGAACAGTTTATTGAATGTTTAAAAATACTTTAATACAGTTTTTACATTATAGGCATTTCGTTATATACAGAGTTACATTAATATCTAATAATGCAACACACATTATCGCATTTAAAATATAATTAATCAGCAATAAATATAAAATATAATTAAAATGCAGTTAAAAAATTTAAAATTTATTTAATTACCAAATAACCACATATAATTTCCAAAACTTGCATGATTCTTTAAAATATCTTAATTAACATAACTAAAAGTTTATTTTGACGGGTTTTTTTAATGAAACAACAATAACGAATAAATAACTAAATAATTTTAAATTTAAAATTTTCTTGTAGATTTAAATTCTCTCTCTAAATAAATCCTAGCAGAAATATGAGAAAACATATATCAGGTTACACTTGAGTACTTCTCCGTTTTAAGTTCTGTAATAATATATGTAGTTTTATAGTTGACAAATTATGTGGATATTTTGGAATTTTCTCAATCAGAGAAATTTAAAAACTTAAAAATTAAATTACAATTGCTCGTGTTCAGGATGCCCGAGTGGTTATGGCGTCAGACTAAGATTGCGTTCACCAAGTGCTGTTGTGCAATGTATGGTGTAATAGTTGATGAACATTCTCAGATTGGTAAGTGAAGAATTTGCTTCCATGGTTTGATTGCAAGTTTCCTCATATTTTCTGGAATGTTTATGAACAAGACTGAAATATGAAATTTCTGGGAAAGAATTATGTGCACTGCGCGATTCGTGTAAGGAACTGAAATCTTTCTTACAGGTAGCGAATGCAAAAACGTGGTTTCTCTTCAGTGTACGTATAAGAAAAATGAACGAAACAATTTAATAAAAGGACTTAAGTTGATATATTGCTCCATCTTTCTGTTGTCCGTACCTCTTTATACATCATAGGTAATTTCGGTAATTGATAAGGCCGGATTTGTTCGGCAATTAAATTGAACTTGAATATCGGATGTCCTGCATTGCAAATGTAAATTGAGGAATGCATGGAAATCTGACTCACGCTTGTGAACGTAGGTAAACTATAGGTAAACACGCCTGCTCCTGACGAGTCATGTTTTTTATACATCTACAAGAATTGTCATCTGCAAAGTTCATCTAAGCCATCTCATTAATTTATATAACATGGGAATAAATAAATTACATACATATTCTTAGTTATATAAATTCATTTAAAGCTAATGAATTTAGCACTGATTTAGCATTTTTTATCGCAATGTAAGAATTGCGATGAATTATGCCTAGAAAATACTGTCGCAGCTGTGTTTGCATTCTACGGTAGCTGAAGTTTAGTTTACTGCTTGCTATGAATTGCATGAAGACTTCAAACCAATTTCGTTAAGGTCAATTTAAACAATACACACTGTGAAGTTAAATTATGATGAATAATATAATGAAGAGATTTTTTTTCGCACATATTTTACAAATACTCATAGACTTCCATTAGTTCACTATATATTTTTTTAAATTTCTTTTTTTCCCTAATGGAGTTTATGTCGGTAAATATTTTCTTTTGGTTTATATTAGCTTCAGCTTACAGTTTTATTAGTCAGATATATTAATTATGGTAACAATATATATGGTATGTCAATTAA